AGAAGCTGAAGGATTTTTGAATGAGAAAAATCATCATGTGGAAATTAATTATGTAGACATTGATGAGGATGAAGAGTGAAGGGGATTAAACAAAATAGTTTTAGGAATGACAATTGTGTTTTGCTATTTTTTAACATTGTTGCTTTGTTTTGATGGCTGTTTTTGTTTATGTTTATGTTTCTTTATGATGACTATCAATAGATTGTAAATGTCATGAATTTTAGATTGTTATATTGTTGGTTTTAATGTGACTGTGTTTGTTATTTTTCTGCTTTTGCATCATATTATATATATATATATATATTTCGTGTTTCATATGAAATATCTGATAATGAATATGTCAATTGACAGAACTACCAGGAATATTTGAGATTAAAAGCAAGGGTAGAAGTCTTGCAACGCTCGCAAAGGTAATTAACTTAAAAGGGTCTCTATGAATAATATGTGAACTTGGTATAGAACCTATATTTTTAGTGTTAAAGATAACATTCTTTTCTGTCTTTATTTACTTATACTCTATTGAAAATTAAGTTTCATGAATAATTTGTGTCATTGATTCTAAATGGTGCAGGAACCTACTCGGGGAAGATCTTGCCCAAATGAATACATCTGAGCTCGAGCAGCTTGAGAATCAACTGGAGTCAGCACTCAGAAATATTAGGTCAACAAAGGTAACACTGGACAACTTCAATTTCAATTCAATTCTCAGTATTCTCAATTAGATTGCACTTCTCAATTATCAGTTTGACTATAAAAGAAGGTTTTGGGGATGTTTATTTTTAAGTACATTGGTCTTGTACACTTGTTAAATTTCTTGACTAGCTAGTTCGGATTAGTTTCCTTCTTTTTGCAAATGCTTTCAAATCTCTTTTTTTGTTTTCCTTTTAATTTCTTGGGTAGGTTTTAACATGTATTTTTCAATTTTCTCAGACTCAATTCATGCTTGACCAGCTTGCTGATCTTCATCACCGGGTATTTGCGTGGTTTTTCATCCTTATTAGATTATGATACCCCCCCTATTCTTTGGTGTAACCTTGGCTTTTACAAATTCAATGCAGGAAACTATGCTTGTTGAAACTAATAATGTATTAAGGAACAAGGTAACAGCTATTTCCAATTCAAATGCATATTTTTTATTTAAAGTTTAAAGAAGATTATAAATTGTACTCATACGCAGGTGATCTGATCAAACTCCAATTATTTGATGAAGCATTCTCAATGTTTCCTTGGCTAGTAGCTAGCTTTGGGATATGAAGAAATGAGCATTTTTCTAATTCATCTAATATTACCTATTTTGGGGGATCCAACACAATATTAGTTTCATTTCTCAAATTCTTATGAGTTAGGGTTGACAAAGCTATCTGGAGGCTAAATTCATATTTTACATTTCGTGGTTTTTTTTTTCCTATAGACCTAATTTATATAGTATTTTAAAATTAACAATAAAATATTAATTTATACTTGCAAGATATAAGTATTACTAGTGTATATTGCCTCAAACAAAATCTTTATCATAAAATATACATTGGAAAGCAAATTAATGTATATCTATGTGATATTTAGTGATTGACAATTTAGTGTTAGATGATAGGATGGTTGTGATAAAGATAATCTGTGTTGAAACAGTTGGAAGAAACTAATAACTCACAAGTTCCAGTAAGTGTGGGTTTGGAGGCAGGAGCAGGAGGACCTAACATCCACTACACCAACTTTCCACCTCAATCAGATGGGTTCTTCCAGCCACTGGGAGTGAATCCCAACTTGCAAATTGGGTAAAGTCATTCCACAATAATTCCCAAAAATATTTTTGTACATTTTTACTTTAATTTGCTTTATTGCTTTTTCCCATTTTTCGTAGTATTCTTCTATCTTCAAAGTGCTTGTTTTGTTGATTATAGATACAATCAGAGTGGTCCTGAGGATGCAAACGTTGGAGCTTCATCATTAAGTATGCATGGATTCGCCTCTGGGTGGATGCTTTGATGACTGAATTTACATGCCATAGTGACCAAAAAGAAAAAAAAAAGGTCATGGATGTGTTCCACACATTCGTAATATATATGTTTTCGTTTCGTTATGTTATGCATTATTTATCAATGTTTAAATAAATAAAAATGCAGGTAGTATTGTTATAAAAAATTATGAACCCAAAACGCTGTATATTTGTATTGAAGTTAAAACTTTAAGCTTTTGAGCATGAGATAAGTGGAACCACTATCCTTTTTTATATAATTAGGTTCGAATCTATGGGTTTCTAAACTATCATATAATATACTAAAACAAAATACAAAGTTGATATATTAATTATCTTTTTAATTACTAATACTCTCTCGATTTTCATTAAGAAAAATAAAAGAGGGTATTAATCATTTGATAGGCAATAATTAAGAGAAAACACTTCTTCCCTTAAAAAATAATTCCTAAAGTTGCTAACCACAAGCTTAGGAGTTAGGATTTAGGATGGTAGGAGACACGTCGAAGCGTACTTTGAAGTTTTTTCTTTTACCATTGTAAGGTTATTGTAGGATCATATTATTAAGGTGAGGTTGTTTTGAACAAAAATAAAATAAAATAATAATAATAATAATAAATAAATAATATATATATATATATATTAGGATAGTCAATCAAGATGTTACTAGTGAACCAAGAAGCACTTTTGTCACATCATTTTTTTTTGAATTTTTTTTAAAAATATCTTCAAACATGGTACATGACATTGGTATTAATGTCACTGGAACAAGTTGTTAGATACATAGGATTGCAATAGACTTCAACAACACTTCTTTGTTTATTTTTAATTTTCTCGCTAGTGATTATAACAACAATTTTATTTTTAACTTTTTGAACTAGTTATATCACTAGTAGACACAACACTTCAATTTTTATTTCATTTTGTTGTGTCACCGGTGGTCACAACACTCTTTTTTTTCTTTATTTTTTATTTTTTATTTTTATAATAATTGTGTCGCTAGTTGGCACATTTTTTTTATTACCGGTATGTGTACGTTGCTAGTGTCTCTAGCTGAACATTATGTATTTATTTATTTTATATCAGCATATGCCACTTTTTGTGTGCTTTTTTTATACCAACAAATGGCTTTCTTTTGTAACTAAGTGTGATGCAATCATATCAAATGTTTTTTTTCTCTTAAAAGTTTAAGTGAGTTAGGTCTTTGTAAGATTTGGACAGATTTCAAAATTCTATATACTTATAATTATAAAAATATTTATAGATTATACTAATAAAGTTCTCACATAAGAGTCAAATCCAGACCATATGAGTGGGAATCAAACCAAATGTTTAATGACCATGGTCACAACCCATAAATATGAAACCTAGGTTAATTTTTTTTTTGTGGTTTTGCCACAATTTATGAGGAACGGATTTAATTTGTTAGGATGAGATTGAGAACAACAACCTCAAAAGTCAAAACTTCACTTTATTTTTTCGAAATCCTAGTAATTCTTGCTTGAATCTACCCAAGGAACTGTCAATCATAAACAGCCAAATTAGCTTTTTACACAGCATCTTCATTGTCATCAACTTGACTCCTGAACCATCTTAGTTTAAAAGCCTTCAAATTTCCTCAGGAACCTATCAATTCAATCAATTGTTTTTATAACCCAAGTCTGAACCATTCAAGAGACAGTAGCTGGTATAAAAAAATGTTGTTGGACCAACTAGCAACACAACTAGTGTAATATATATATATATATATATATAATATTAATTAAAATTTATTAAAAACATATTAATGTTTTTTACTTTTTTTAATTAAATTTCTCTTCAGCCTTATATTTTCTGGTTTCATACCGGCGCAACGCAACACAAGTACTTACGTACGAACTTGGACCTACCAGGAAGGCAATGTGGCACACTGACTAAATGGTGGTTGCAGGTTTAAAGGTCTTGTCTATTTTTCATCTGTTAAGACAACTTTGCACCTATTCTCGCATCAGCATGATAATGAACAGGGTATATATATATATTATTGAGATCACTCACACAATTTAAAAAAAAAATAAAAGACTTAAATATATTTTTACTCCTTAAATTTGTTTTTGATCTTTTAAATTTAAAACTATTGTTTTTAAAATTTTAGTCTTTTTTAAAAATCTTATTTTAATTTTTCAAGTTACCAATAACATATCTAAAAGTAATATTTTAAGACAGTTATGCAACATTAACTAAGTTTAATGTGATATTTTGACAATATATTTTGACAAACAAAAATATCGGTAGGTAGATTTTATACATAAGTATTAAACAGATTTTTTAATAAAATTCGAGTATGAAGAGTAAAACAAGATCTTTTGAAATTATAGGACTAAAAAAATAGTTTTAAATTTTAGAGACTAACAATAAATTTACCTTAAATTTAAGATATTAAAAACACATTTAAGTCATAAAAATATAAGTGTTCTTGGGGCCACAAGCAACACAATTAGTATTAAAGAAAAAAAAAACAAAGTGTTGTTGTGCCTATCTTTTTTTTGTATAATTACGAAAGATAAAGGGCAAAAATACACTAAAATTGGGATGACATAGAATCAACCCCTAAAACGAATAAAATAAAATTTTACTAGTACAAAAAAGGATCTTTTACGTCGACTATTTTTAGGCTTTTATGTCAGAAAAGGCTCCAACATTAATACATCAGGAGTCAAATGAGATGCGGTCCAAATGGCATTGTGTAACAACTTGAGGCCATTGGCTACATAATTAAAAATAATAATAATAAAAGTAGTTGGAGTTCATGGTGACACTATATGTTTAACAACCAGCTCCAACAACACTAACATTGGTGCCATGTATCTTGTTTGAAGCCACTTAAAAAAAATAATAACGTGGTAGAGGTGTCGATTTATTGACCGGCAACACTCTACATTGATTAATCCAAAGTAAGAATTTGCTTCAAAACAACATAATATATTTTCATAATAATCTCACAATGATCAATCGGAAGGTTGTACTTTGACAAACATGAGTTATTCATATTTGAACTCTTTCAAAAACAAAAATTATCCATTTCAATTTTTTTTATAGAAAAATATTGAAAAGGGAAAAGACATTTCCAGTCACGTAGAGAGAAGGATGACAGCTTCAATTTTTTAAAATTTACTTAAATTACTATAAAAATAATTTCTTAAATTCCTTACAAGTAAGACTGCTAAAATTTAAACTTTAAGCTTATAGACTAAAAAATATTCGTCGTTAGATTTTATTATAAAAGACCACATATATATTAAAAAGGTTTCATATATTTACAATAATTTTTCTCTTATGTTTAAAAAAAACTTCAATACATACATTTTTCATTTTAAAAAAATTCTTAAAATTTATTTTAGACCTCACATATGTTGTTGAGCTAGTCTTGATTCCATATATATATATATATA